ATTGCATTGTTGCAATGCTACCTGTCCACACACAAACAGCAATATATATCTTACGTTTTATTTTAGAAATGTCCACAGAGTTGGAGGTAGAGTACCTTAAATCATAAAGCAGACTGTTTCAGGGATAAGAGTGGCTGACATCTCTCCACCTTTTTATTAGGATCCTTGAGGATACTAGGGGCCAGCAACAGAGGATCCTGCTATAGGTACATCTTAAAAGCCAGTCTGAGAGAGAAGGCTGTGCCACAAGATTCAGTGATTCAACCTTAAAACCGATAGGAAACCAATGCAATGATTTTAAAATATATTATCAAATTCTCTCTTCTTGTCTTATTGCTGGGGCAGAAAATGTAACGTGTGGGGCATTGCCAGAGTAAAACGGTTATTACCTAGTGTATATAAAAATAGTTTCTGCCATTTTAGGACATCTCAGCTCAACTCCTGAAGGAAATATCTGTCCATTCAGTTGCTAAATGCTCCACTATGTTCAGCAGCTTGTCCGTCTGCTATTTGCTGAGCAGGTATAGTGGGGTTTTAGAGCTTTTCACTGGGAACAGCTGTCTGCTTCTATGAGAGCGGTGACAGTGAACCCAAACAGTAGTTTTGCTGTCCGTTTGCAGCTTGAGACTAAACTTACTTTAAAGCTCCGAAATCATCTGAATCTGCAGCTAGTTTCAGAGATGAAGAAAATTCACACTGTAATGATACATTAGATGTATGGTCCTGTCCGTACGGAGGATTCGAGCTTTGTACCAAAGCAAATGAGAAAACCTATGAAAATAATGATTTAACTCCTTTTTGTCATTTTGGAATTTGTTCATAGCTGTGAAAGTAGAATTCATCATCTGGGGGTTATAATATTCCTTAGATAATGAAATCTGCCGAACCAACACTTTGGAGTGTCAATGTGGCTAATATAACTCAAATTGAAAAGACAACTGGAGTGAAAATCGGACATAATGGCATCATAGGTGAATGGACTGATAGATAGTTAGAATGTTTATATGCTCCCTCTCTCTCTTACTCTGTGTGTGTGTGTGTGTGTGTGTGTGTGTGTGTGTGTGTGTGTGTGTGTGTGTGTGTGTGTGTGTGTGTGTGTGTGTGTGTGTGTGTGTGTGTGTGTGTGTGTGTGTGTGTGTGTGTGTGTGTGTGTGTGTGTGTGTGTGTGTGTGTGTGTGTGTGTGTGTGTGCGTGCGGGTGCGGGTGTGTGCGTGTGTGAGTGGTTGTGTGTGTGGGTGGGTGAGGTTCACTTTAGAGAAGAGATTGGAATTCCTTTCTCTCTGGGTGGCGCAAGGATAATGGCCCTTACTCTTTCATTTGAAAGATACATTAAACGGTGCATTTAATCTCCACAAGCATTTAACTGGCAACTTAGTTCCACAATGTACCCTAATTGGTTTTAAATTGTTTTCATGCAGGAAGTCTTACATAGGACAGTGGAGCCGAAACTAGGTTGACTCTAACTAAAAATGGATTGGATTTAGGTGTTGTATGCCATTACTGTCTACTGTCTATGTGGTTTTAAACCATTCAGTCCAACATGAGATGTGTGTGGTAGCCTGAGTAGTGTTTCAAGGCCCAGAGGGGCTTTGGGAAGTTGAAAAAATAAGCAACAATCCTATGAAAATGGCAGGGTAATTGGTGTCATGTGGATAAGAAAAAGGTCCAAGTGGCTTGAGTTGCTGAAGAACTAATAAATATCTCTTAAAATGTTTATTACCATATATTTTGTAGCATAAACTGGTCTAAATTAACTTATTTGGCCATCTCTTTTGAAGGCCCTTACCAGTCTGGTACATGGATTCAGCAGATTTGTATCAGATTCAATCCAAATGCTGTTTCAATCCCATTTCAGCAACTACTACACCTTTCTTTCCACAAAACTGGCTGTCCAAAGTGCTCTCTAAGCCAGTGCTTTATCCAGACCTCCAGATTACTGAGCCTGAATCAAAGCGCCAGACCCGGTATGTTTCTTTTCCTGTGTGAGGTGGAGGGGGGAAGAGGTTAAGTTTGTGCAGGCTTGGTGAGTGCAGCGAGGGGGGCTTTCTCACACAAGATGGAGGATGAAGGTACAAAGGTGGCATTCATTGGCCCAGGAATGGAAAACATTTTCGTCTGAAAACAGAGAAGCTACAACCGGCAGAGGTAGAGAGGCCATGGGTTAGCATGGACCCCTTTGGAGAAGTCACACGCCTAGAAATGCAGAGAGACCACCAGAGCCTACGAGGCCTCGTTTATTTGGTAATTGAGATAATATCATGTCAGCCTCTAAAGTCAGATTGGAAATTAATCCTGCAGTCAGCAGGAATTTGAAAGGTAGAATGTGAATGTTTAGCAGGTGTGCTTTAAACCTAAACATACTGGGATATCACCTTCATCTGGTGATAGATTGCCTTCATTAGAACAGCCTCGAAAACAGTAGGACGACAATTCAAATAGTTTTATATTTCAAATATCTATTTTAAGTTAGATAAATAGCAAAAATCGCATCTAAAGTAATGGATCTCTACTTTTTAGAGCCGAGACCCTGAATAATAATCTGGCTGGTGTTTGCAACAACAATTTCCCTGCACATACATCTATAGATGTTTTAGTGCTAACCTTAAATCTAAGCCATGCACCTGCTTGACCCAGAGGTTGAGAACCACTATTTAAAGAGCAAGACAATATTTGACAATGACTGACAAATATTAGATCATAAATAGGCACAATTCAAATAGCTAAGAGCTTTTAATATAGAGTGCCGATCTACTGTCGGATTCTTGCCTCAGTTTACATTTCTTGATCCTCTGTTTTTGGGAAGTGATACCCTATAACCTGTTTATCTTGTGTTAACAATGCTCCATCACAGTCTGCCACTGTCTTACTGAGGAGCTTCTCACACAGCAGCGGACTGACATCAAAGACAGGAAGTCAGGCCTCTGTCTCAAGAGATCTCATATGATACAAACAGTTGTGTTTGAAGAACCAGGAAACCTGCCAAAAACCTCTATGGAGAGGAAGGATCTCAGACACAGGACTCTCAACAAAACAACAGTCAGGGAATAGAGACTGACCTGAGCATCGGGTCCCGCTGGAGTGAGTACGACACCTAGAGGACAAAATAGTAAAGTTTCAGTGTGTCAGTTTGGGAAACTCACCATGGGGTGTCGCCACATAACAGCATTAGAAATGACTCTCTAGTGTGAACATGATTTTTACCTATATTACATTATTTACAAGACAACAAACAGGTTTCCCCAGTCCATGTTGAAATAAAAATAACCCGACCTTAAGTTAATGTCAGATTAAGCTGACACACTTTATCATAAAGTATTTTACAATCAAAGAAAAAAGGTATGACACCAACAAATGACTCAGACATTGACAAAAACTTGTGAAATATTCATTATTTTTCTGATTTTTATTTTTGGTGCTTTGTTCTGCAAAGCTACATAATTAGCATCACAAAAAGTTATGAGACAAAATAAATAACAGTAAACATCAACACAAGTCCGGGCTTTGAAATGACTTTTCCTTTGATAGGAGTTAAATAAACTCATTTGCTGGCGTACGTCCACTTTTTCAAGGCCAGTTTATGTTGAATGCTGCAATGTTTGGAAAATAAACCTTGATGTGGACATTTGAACTTTTCCCATCCCCTTTTACCTCATCTAACCCTTGTGTGGTGTTCATATTTGTGTTATTCAGCCAGTGTTCGTGGTTCTGGTAGACCCGCTGCCTTTCTGGGTTTCAATTCAACACAATCAAACTATTTTATGTTAAAATACTCAACAGATGTTTACTGTTCCCAATTACAAGCAATAAAAACAGCATATCTCATCCTCTTCTTCAAAGTCACTGTCAGACTCAGAATTCTCAGAAATGTGATCCTCACATTCTGAAACCTCTTCCTCTAGATCATCATCAAATGGTTCTCTCTCTTCCAAAATCATTTGCAAGGCCCTCTGAGCAGAGAATCTTTTGGCCATGTTGATCAGCTGTGATAAGGACCCAAACTGGCGAAGCTTTATCTATTGTGTCTCGCCCCAAATGTACAGCTGGGAGTGTGAACAAAATAAAGATTAAAAAACATAATGCGGGAATGTGAGAGCAGACAGGTGTCGGTGCTTGAATGTATCAACAATGTGTGTGGGAATGGCAGGGGCGGAAACACAAAAGTCTCACACACACACACACACACACATATACACACACACACACACACACACACACACACACACACACACACACACACACACACACACACACACACACACACACACACACACACACACACACACACACACACACACACACACACACACAGAAGGACCAGACAGGTGCACTGGACCTACAATTTTCACACTTTTTTTAGCCGTGCAGTGGACCCGAACATCCTGTATGTAATGTAAATGTGTAGGGGGGGTGTACAGTGGGTGGTCATTGAAAATGTGTTCTGATATATGTTCTTCACAGAAAATGAGCCAAGGCCATTGAGTGTGAGTTTGTAAAAATAATTTATCATGTCATTTTTCTTTAGCTAAATAATGAAAACGGGTCCCACAGACACCATACAAGGGTTAAACTCATACATCTGAATTTTGGCCACAATGATCAAAAAGGTTTATGTTGAAACTGCCATGAGTGACATTATTCATCTGACCTTTTGATTTGAATTTGGAACAAAATAGTCAGCAAGTTTTTTGAAAGTGACATAAAGCTGTGTACCTCTAGGCCTAAACTAAAGACCAGACCAAACACAAGTAGGAATATAACATAACAAATGTTTATACATATTATTTTCCTTCCTAAGCTAACGTAATAAGTCTTACCTAAGTCAAATATGCTCCATAACTTTCTAAACCGTCTCTGCCTATAATCAAACACCAGTTGGACTTGAGTAACTGCAGGTTATTGACCCCACCATGCTGCATGTGTCAGAGCCCCGCCCCCGAGTCACAGCCTGTACTTGAGCCAGTGTGTAGGACAGCAGCTGCTATTAAAGCAAAGGACAGAGGGCCATTGGTCACAAATATCTCTCTGGATAAGCTACTGGGAAGAGGAAAAAACACATCCTCTGAATTATTAAAGACTAAGCCCTACTTATCACACAATGCACTGCCTGAAAAGTCTGAGGACAGCTAACCCGGGAATCTTGCAGCTATTTAAAAATGCAGGGATCTCCAGCAGAGGTGGAGCTGACAACATTGTTTTGTCCCGGACCCAGCAACCTGTGCCTCTCCCCTGCTGGGCTGCAGCATCACACCACACCCACAGAGCCTTCCACCAGAAGGGCCCTGATGCGGACCCAGGACACCCCAAGTAGGTCACATAATGCTGTGTCTAAATGAATAAATCACCAATAATTAGCCAACATATATATTTAATAATTCCCCACAACATTTACATAATGAAATATAAGAAATACAACATGTTTTAGCTAAGATCAGAACAATATATGACTTTCTGTTTTGTGTTAGTTCTGTTGTGATGTGATATGGATGACTTATTTATCCTATTGGATGAGTTGTTAAGTGATTTATTTAGAAGTTAGTGGTTATGTTATGTATTAGGTCCCACTGTAAGTAAGAATATCATGGTAGTGTAATAATACCATTACCTATTATTGAAGAAGTAGCTAATGAGCATCCAAACAAACAAACAATAAATCTGAGAAGGATCAAGTATTCATGAGTGAACTGTCTGGTCAAGGCCTACTCACATGTCTGGCAATCCCATATGTCAAGCTTTTAGTAATTTCTACCATAACATCACACTTATAAAATAATTGTAGACTGAAATATTCCAAAATGAATATTTTTAGATAAATTGTGCAGCATTAATTATAAGTTAGACTTTTTATGTAAGATATATTTTGGAAAATTCTCTTACCAATATTCACTTTCTTGCTAGGATTGTAGAAGATCGATTCCACTCGTTTCTAAACATGAAGATACAGTCAGACGAAAGTTAGCTTAGCTTAGCAACAAGGCCAAAACAGTTAGCATGTCCAATGGCATGAAAAAAGGAAACGCCAACTGCTCTTCTGAAACTTACAAATTAGCCTTCTATAGTATTGATTGTTTATTCATTCACAAACTAAAGTTTAAAAAACATTGTTAATAACAAGTCTGTGTTTGGTTTATTGGGTTTGATATAGCTGGCTATATTTGTTAAATATTTAGCCAGAAGAAGGCTATTCCCAATGGCTTCCAGGCTTTATGCTAGCTAACTATATTGTGTCTCTAGCTAGCGTTACATAACTCAAACACCAGAGTGTGTCTTCAAACTTGTTATGTATTATTGGTAAATAAGCAAACAACCATTTCCCCATTTTTTGATTATCATGGTACACCATAGGATTGTTATGCTATTTTCAGTTAGCAGTTTACTTTTGTAATTGTATTTTTCTTTCTTTTTTCCTCCAACTCTTGCTATAATAAGTACAATTATTAACATACAAATTGTGAATAGTATTTCAAAGTAGGTTACGTGTGTATATTAGCTATACTAGACCCAAACAATATGGAAGCCCACATTTGTATATAGGCCTTCTGCACTATGACAAAATGAATTTTTCTTATGATTGTTTTTTGTAAACATATTTAGACATGGCATAGAGGCCACAGCCTCTGTCATGATGCCAGTATTTTCACTACTGGCCATGTTATTGACGTAAACGTTGACACACATCTCAGGGTTTTGTCTGAAAACATTGGAGCCAATGCAAATTCAAACATAACAAAAGGTGCAAACATGTTTATGTGTTTTTTGTGTTGGCAGAATTAGGTTCATGTCCAGTATGGAGGACCTGCTTTTCTACACCATAACTGAAGGCAAGGAGACAATCCCGCTGTCCCAGTTCATTTCTGTGAGTCAACAACACACTCACACTTTCTCAGTCACGCCATGGACTGTTATGACTTTCCATGACATATGTGGCACTGCCTCAGTATTGTATTTCCGAAAAGCACCTATGACTTTGGTTAAATCAACCTTGGGGAGTGATATAGGAGCTGGAAACAGGAATCCAGAGCATCTCCATCTGAATGCATGTTCAAGTCAAGAAGGTATTTAGGGACTTTGTCATGTAATAGGACTAATTATAGGTGGTGTAAGACTGATGTAATCACCATTAGAGAATACCATGCATTTTGTAATTATCCTTTTTATAATGGGGGTTTCATTACAACACTATCTTAACATTTTGTACCTGCTGATGTGATAAGATGGCTCATTAGATCAAGGGCATTTCACTTAAACAACAGAACCAAAGAGCTTAGTTAAGGCTTTCCCACTGAACAAAATAAAACGCAAATACCCACTACCATCTGGATTAAAAAATGAAGTAACCACCATAACATTGTTCACTTAACAAACACTGTTCATTAACCCTGATTTGGTGCCAGTATCTCCTGTACACACAATGTATTGAAGTTATGTAATGCTTTGTGAACCCATTAAAAGTTTATTCTTTCCTATATCTTATATACAAACATATTTCGGAAGATAACTAAGACAGAGACTGCAAGGTTTTTTTTGTGCACTCTGATAACGTGCTAATGCATACCTCATTTAGTTTCATGTGGCATGACCTTTAAGACCGTCACATTAAAAAAACGCAGACATGGACATCTGCTGACCTGGGTGTTATGACAACTCAGGAATTTTAAAATGGAACATGCATTCAGGAGAAGAGAGGTGTGGCTTGTTGTCATGCAACGGATGACCTGATGTGTTTGTAGAGGTGACTGGGAGAGGACTTAATGGTGAGAGTGTAAGTCAACATCAATGTTAGAAGAACTGCAAAACCCTTCATCCTTACAAGTCACTTAGCGTTATAGTCTGCCTTGAAAGTTTATATGTGTCCTGTTAAAACAGATGCTATATTCAATTCAATTCAATTCAACACCTTTATTTATCCAGGTAAAATCCCATTGAGATCAATGATCTCTTTTTCAAGGGAGACCTGCAGCAGTAGGTTCCACAAGAAGACATAAACAACAGAACAACAAAAGGACATCATACAGCAAAATGTACAGGGATTACAATTTACATATTTAACCACAAGTACAGGTACCAACAGCATCTGATTTTGTAGCATCCAACCGAGCTTTAAAAACATGTAGTGGTACTAGCTTGGTAATTTTCCATTCTTTTTGCAGACTGTTCCATGTTAGTGGAGTATATAATAAATACTATCACTTAATATTCAATCTCCAATACTTGTTCTTAAAGGCAGAGTTTGGGTTTGTTCTCTCCATTGATGTAGAAATGGAGATATAACATAAATCAGTGGTCTAGTATCAAGAGAATGACTCTGAAATATCAGAACATTTTGGAAACAAGCTGATTTGTATTGAGATTGCAATTTTTTGTATCTTCCATTCATATATTTTCAAACTTACAAAGCAAGACAAAATGTATTTTCCAATCCTGCCTGATACACATGAAAGTGAATTGAATGGTAAGCCCTTTTAGTGAGCTTAGATAAAATATAAAATGTAAGTTTTATATTATTTAAATATAGTACCCTGACAAACTATGATTAAAAATGTAACTGCTGAATCATTATTGTCTTTATTTATCAAGTAATTGTTTGGTCCTACTTGGTTAAATTGCCTGTTCTATCTGACAACCCAGAAAAAATAGTCCAGGACCAATAACTGCAACATATTTAACAAATAATTGTTTTTTTATTTATATATAATTAACCGTTTATCAACCTTGTATCTGATGACATTTCTGTCGATTGACTCATATATTAATTGACAGTTTCAATACATTTAGTTTCAGCTTTAAATGACTGTGTATGAAGAGTTAATATACAGATTTAAGCATATGAGGTACTTAGTTATTTCATCATGCCAACCAAGCTGTAATTTGAAAGGCCTGTCTGTGTCTGTTGTGTGTGGAAAACGTAATATGTTCTTACACGTGCAGGCGAATGTATGCATACAAAACTATGAGGGCAGCACTAACTTTAGAATTTCCTGTCCTTTAGCTAAAAATGACACACAGCAAAAGCAGCCATGTGCTTGTCTGCCGTTAGCTCAATGAATCAGCGGGTCGTGCACATGGCGTCCCCAAAATAGATGCACATGGTTGAGACAGTGGCAGGCAGCCTGACGTGTGACTTACGAGAAGGTTTCAAGTGATTCAGTCTACGTCTGTATTTACTTCTTATACCCAGGTGGGCACCCACAATCATTTGAAGTTACTATCCCTCACTATTCAAGTTCAAGGTTCAAGGCTTTTATTAGTCATACGTACATAGCTACAGTGTAGTTATGACGAGGAAAATCTCAGGTCACAGGTCCCTCCAACAGTGTACCTCCACTTACCCTATGTACACATGTTCAACACACTGCTAATAGCCATTCAATGACCACTATTGTGCCTGATCCAAAGTGTTTGATGAATGCATAAACGATTCCAATGTTTGTATCCCTTGTCGCTCAAAACCATCTCTTCTCCCTCTTCTCTAGGCTTTAAGAAAAACAGGTTTGTTAACCTCTGACCCTCGCCTACGTGACTGTGTCCGTCAAATGCGACAATCCTCACGTGACTCTGTCGGGCCGGTCATGATGGACAAGAAGCTCTTCAGAAGGTGAGAAAAGTTTTGTGTATTTATGTAAACGCAGTTATGCACACGGTTATTCACAGGGGGAGTGAATAACTTTTACCTCCATGTCAAAAGTACACAGAGCACTCTCTATATTTGCTTTAATAAAACACTCTGTCACTGCTGCATAACCAGTATAATATATTATTTATTCCAATTGGTTTATCAAACCTGCATATGAATCTGAGAATATGCACGCAAAAAAAGGAAGAAAGGGTGCAAGTTTGGGTAAGATAAAGGTTGTTTACTTTGTTGCGATTAAAGGAGCAGTGTGCATCTAGCAATTTGCGGGTCGCAACAAACTGATTGCCTCTCCTTCAGGTAACCCAAAAAATGTGAAAGCCCACTTCTAGAGCCAATGTGTGGTTACTCTGTTCTGTATAAACATCACAGTGCAGAAAGGCAGATTCCTGGAAGTGTAAAGAGAACTGAATACTGAGTGTGAGATGTGGTCATTCATTCATAGGAAAATAGCACAGTGGCACATGAAACCCAAGTAGATAGGTAGCCAGGTGATATTTTCAAGTACCTAAAAAGAAAAGCTAACTAGTGTTTGAAGTTCATTAACTCGAAAAAATTGATTAACTGACATTTCTTCACCAATGTCCTAGGTCTATGGGAAACTTTTTTTGTTGGCCTAATGGCATCATGTGACAGACTTGGAAGTTGTAAATTCACAGGTTATGCCACTATGTCAGTTTGGGTCCGTGGAAGTGTAGCCGCTCGTAATATAAAGTAATTATATCCTGTTACTCTTGTACTCCTTGAAGTACAAGAGTAACAGGAGGAGTATTCAGTGGTCAGCGCTATTTGAGTCCAAGAGACTGACAGAGACAGGCGTTTTACGGCTGACAGCTGCTACAGTACTAACCAAATTCTCGCACACACTGGGCAGCCAAAGCAGTAAAGGGAGCAGAAAGAAGGGGGCATCATTCTGGTTGAGCCCCATGCTGTGGCTATTTCATTAGTACACTTAACAGATCTGTAAGCTCCATGCAGTCTGTTGCCAAATGGTGTTATTTGTAAGTGTAATACACTCCGTCTCATCCTTTGGCTTGGAACAGCAGAGGGTAACACAGCCTGGTAGTCTTTGTCAAACTTAATTGGCTGTGTCTTTCTTTCTCTGCTTGTTTTCTTTGATTTGTAAGGTTATCCTGTTCTGAAGAACATTCAAGAACTCACTATATAAATAGGCTACTAGAAATAGAGAGAGCTATGTCCTTCTTTTTTTAGGAATTGACCCATGTGAATAATGCAAGCTCTCTCTATTCTCCTCTCCCGGTGGCCTCACGCAAACATCACCCTGGATTAGTGAGTCCAGCGGGTCAGATTGTAAATGCCTTTCCTTGAAAGCGCTCAAAATTGTTGACAATGTATACAGTAGATGTGAAAATCTCTAATAACTATGAGGCTCTGCTGATATAGGCAGGAGAGGGTGCTTACTATTTTAGCTGGGTATCTATTGGTCTAAAGCAGGTCACTTTGAATCCATTGTGATGAAAAAGAAAATAATGAAAGCCCAGTGAGGAGTGGAGCATTTCAATTAGATACAATTGATTGGAGTTTCAGTTATACAATCATTTTTCAGGCAGAACCAGTCTCCGTGTTTAAGGCTGCAGTTTTTCAGTCCAAGAAAGAAAACTTTTGACAAATGTTTGGATAATATCCCAGAGAAAAAGTGTTGGCCACAACTCAAGAATCACTGCACCAATTATGACAACATTTCACAGAACATTTCTAAATGGTGTAACAGGACTGGGCAGATAAAGAGCAAAAGTGGTAGTGCAGCAATCACGACAGAGGCAGTGTTCAAATCCAAAAAAGGCTTTATTGCTATTAAACTCAAAAATAGCTTCCCTTAAAGAAAGGCTAACGTAGCCGGGCCGCTAACCGACTTACCAGCTTACCAAAATGTTTCATCACGCTGGGAGCCTCCTGCTCCCTCCATGTGCCACCCACAACTGAGCAAAGTGCTTTGTCTCCCTTGAGGGAGTGATTAGCACCAGGTGTGAGGTCTCCACCCCTGCTCCCAATACTGCTAATTGGAAGAGGGTGGAGCCACCTGTTGGGAATGTAGGTGCCTCCCACTACCCTGCCTCTCAGCCCCTTACAATGGTATACATTGACATCAAAAGGTCTAAAGTGAAATGTACTATGACATCATAATAATCACATTTCTTTCAACATCATAACTCAGAATCAGATGGAGTGTGTGTGTGTGTGTGTGTGTGTGTGTGTGTGTGTGTGTGTGTGTGTGTGTGTGTGTGTGTGTGTGTGTGTGTGTGTGTGTGTGGTGTGTGTGTGTGTGTGTGTGTGTGTGTGTGTGTGTGTGTGTGTGTGTGTGTGTGAGACTTTTGTGTTTCCGCCCCTGCCATTCCCGCACAAGGTTGCAACATTGTTGATGAATTCAAGCACCGACACCTGTCTGCTCTCACATTCCCGCATTATGTTTTGTGGGAACCAATCTTAATTTTGTTCACACTCCCAGCTGTACATTTGGGGCGAGACACAATAAATAAAGCTTTGCCAGTTTGGGTCCTTATCACAGCTGATCAACATGGCCAAAAGATTCTCTGCTCAGAGGGCCTTGCAAATGATTTTGGAAGAGAGAGAACCATTTGATGATGATCTAGAAGAGGAAGAGGTTTCAGAATGTGAGGATCACATTTCTGAGAATTCTGAGTCTGACAGTGACTTTGAAGAAGAGGATGAGATTGAGCATCAGCTAGTTACAAAAAAAAGATGAGCCACGGGACCAGCCGGTCAGTAGCACTTTAATTCATTAATGTGATCTAAAAAATGTAAAAGGGCAATATATATATATAACCATATATGCTGTTTTTATTGCTTGTAATTGGGAACAGTAAACATCTGTTGAGTATTTTAACATAAAATAGTTTGATTGTGTTGAATTGAAACCCAGAAAGGCAGCGGGTCCACCAGAACCACGAACACTGGCTGAATAACACAAATATGAACACCACACAAGGGTTAGATGAGGTAAAAGGGGATGGGGAAAAGTTCAAATGTCCACATCAAGGTTTATTTTCCAAACATTGCAGCATTCAACATAAACTGGCCTTGAAAAAGTGGACGTACGCCAGCAAATGAGTTTATTTAACTCCTATCAAAGGAAAAGTCATTTCAAAGCCCGGACTTGTGTTGATGTTTACTGTTATTTATTTTGTCTCATAACTTTTTGTGATGCTAATTATGTAGCTTTGCAGAACAAAGCACCAAAAATAAAAATCAGAAAAATAATTATGAGAACATTTCACAGAAAATGTCTAAAAGGTGTGAAAATGTACTATGACATCATAATAATCACATTTCTTACAACATCTCAGACTCAGAATCAGATGGGGAGTGTGTGTGTGTGTGTGTGTGTGTGTGTGTGTGTGTGTGTGTGTGTGTGTGTGTGTGTGTGTGTGTGTGTGTGTGTGTGTGTGTGTGTGTGTGTGTGTGTGTGTGTGTGTGTGTGTGTGTGTGTGGACTTACCTGAAGCATCCATGTTTTAATGTTTGCACAAACATGCATATTTGAAGCCTTGTCCACTGTCATGGCTACAACTTTTCTTTTAACCCTGTTCCTCTGAAAGGCCCTTACGCTGTTTGGACAGAAATGTGTATTAACTGCAACTGTGTTGGTTGGCGGAGGTCTAAAGCCATGAGGTGGTTATTTTTGTTTTGTTTGTGGTATTTTTGCAAGATTGAGTTTTTGAAATGTCTTCAAATGTTTTCCTATGATGTCTGTTTAATGATGAGTTCTCCTGCAGGTGTGCGGGAAACAACATCATTCTGCTGACAAAGGCTTTTAGAAAAAAATTCGTCATACCAAACTTTGATGAGTTGACCCAGCAGATCGACAGGATGTATGACAGTGCACAACAGCAGGAGGCAGGACAGGTACGTTACTAACTCTCAATAATGAATCATTATCAGCTCGATCGTTACAGTAACACTCATGTGTGTGTTCATGTAGGTAGCTGATTACATTCCTCAGCTGGCTAAGTTCAGTCCCGATCTCTGGGGCGTATCTCTGTGCACAATCGATGGACAGAGGTACAGTAACATCTTCACTTTAATGTGTGCTCCATTCTGAAAACCTCCACCGTGTGTATTCCCGCACTAACACTCCTCCATTTAATTTCCATTCTTCTCCATCACATCCTCATGTCATGCAGACACTCTGTGGGTGACACCAAGGTTCCCTTTTGTCTACAGTCGTGTGTGAAGCCTCTGGAGTATGCCATCGCCGTGCACGAGTTCGGCACCGAGCATGTTCACCGCTTTGTGGGCAAAGAGCCAAGTGGATTCAAGTTCAACAAACTGTCACTAAATGACGAAAGTAAGTGATAAGCGTAATCAAAACGTTAGCTCCCGTTTACCTCTGTAAACAATAACAAGAGCTAACAATAATACTGAGTGAACATATGAACCTTGTTTTGTAAAAAACAAAACTATACAAAACCTCTTTCCCTTAGTATGGTATTTGACTCTTATCAAATCAGGTCATCAGTCATTTCACCAGACTGGTTGTTGGCAGAGCAAAGATAGGGCAAAAAGCAGACAGATTTTACTGGAAAAATGTTGTCCAGATGGAATTTCTTTTTTTAAATAATGTATATACCACTTTATTGCAATTTTACAGCAATTTGCCATTTTATTCTCCTCTCTGGAGAAAAGAGAATTGTATATTATGTTTTGAGTTTATTAGCGGATGTTACTCTCTGTTCCCCAGATGAAATATCTCCTCTAATCTCAGCAGTTTCTTGCTCTCATGGTTAGGGCTAATAAGTGAAAACACACTCTTGTTTCTTGTGCAGATAAACCACACAACCCGATGGTGAACGCCGGAGCTATCGTCATCAGTTCTTTACTTAAGGTAAATTGAAAGGATTGTCTGCAATGAATACATTGATTGTGAGTAGAAGCAGAGGTTTTACAACTCAGAATATACCCACAAAACACAGCACACAGTCGGATGTCCTGTATCCATTCATGCCCAGAAATAGGCCCACTGTTTATCAACCCAAAACTAAACCGGATAATTAGACATTTTTCCATGTTTCCCAAATAAAAGGGGTTCACAAATTATGCTCTAATTCAGGTCTTTTAAAACTCTCCCCTCAGCTACATCTTCAGTAGAGACAGAAACATTTGCAAAATGAAGGCTGTAGTGTGCAACATGAAATCTTGTCCTCTTGTTTTAACCTTTACACCATTTCACTAAAGAACACATCCTGTTCTTATAGTCCATGCATGGGCCCTTGTTATTCCTGAGCCACTCACAAGTACACTAGAAATGTGCATACAGAAATCATTGTAAAATGGGAATTTCTTTACAATCTGTGTGACAGAAGTGTTTGCAAGCGTTCCTATTGTGCTATGAAACATTATCTGTATGGCTCTGAAAATGATATTGTATATTTATTGGATTTTAAAGGCCTGAATGATTGCATCCAACGATGAGAAGCCAAGTAATGCTATGTATTTTACGCTGAAGCTGTTAGTGATGTTGCACTCTCTCATGTAATGTCTGGTCACTTGGGTCCTGTAGCATCTGGACTCTGGTCATCACCATGCGACTGACCATCACACTTATCTGTGAGCCTTGGCCTTATTGTAACACATGGAGAGGTGGAGTTTAGCCTTATATGGTTGTGTATTTTTCCCCTGACGTATTCCAGCTGAATGAGGACATACTCTGGACTTTTTTATCATATGTAGGTCAGGTTCAGCAGCGAGGGAGGTACTGTGTGTGTGTGGGCCTGACAGCAGGGGTGTGTGTGTGCTTCTGTCCAATTACAGCCCCCTGAACAGAAGGTGTGTTAGCGAACCTCGCTCCTGTGTGTGTTAAGGGGACATTGTTTGTATACACATACTGAGGAGGTGATACACTTAAAAGTAGGTTACACTCAGGCAGCAGAAAATAGCTTTTTTATATACACCACTGGAAACAATTATCACTTTAACATTTTAATTGGACAATTTTTTTTTGGTTTTACATTTGTTTGATTGTATCTGTATGTTAGTGCCATATTGTGACGATGGCTTGAAAGATTTATACAAAGTTGGTCAGAAAAATAAGTTAAAAAATGCCAGAAATGTATATATTTAGTTTAAAACAAATATTTGTCAGAGCACCAGAGAGAAGCCACCTGGAAATAAATAAAATAAACTCCTTTATTGGGCATGAGGTGAATTCTCCAGTCTGCCCTCCAACTCATATTATTATATTAGTTATATTAGATACCATCCTTTATAGGTAGAGTCATTAAATATGAATGTGCTTACGGTCCGTATTTGTTAATTTAACAACTTGGTAATTCTCCCTTACCGGTCGGTGAAATTTAAGCACAGCCATAAAAGCCCCCAGGTCACTGTGTGCTCATTGCCACATGGACTGAGGGCTCGGAGACATCATGTACACATCACAGCTCGCAGCCTACCCATTACTGGAAACAAATATATGCTTTGGTGTCAAAGTACTGAAACACTGCCATCTATAGGGATTCACTGACTGTTGGCATCAGAAAGTGACTTTTTTCTCCCTCTGTTGACAGCCTCATTCAAATAAGGCAGAGAGGTTCGACTATGTGAGTAAATGCTTTACCCTTTTAAAGACTTTTTTTTGATTACACATATGTTTGGCCTTCCTACTGAACCACGTGCACATATAATCTCCTTGCAGGTGATGGACTTCTTGAAAAGCTTGGCTGGTACAGAGTATGTGGGCTTCAGCAATGCAACGTGAGTACTGTGCTTCAGAAAATGCCACCTCATTGGCATGTATCCAGACAATGCAACTTTCTAAATAGCTGTCATCTTCTAAAGTTTCCAGTCAGAGAGGGAGACCGGTGATAGGAATTATGCAATTGGTTACTACCTCAAGGAGAAAAGAGTGAGTTTTTTTTTCTTTCATTTGTTGAATTGCAATCACCTCAATGCTTGTTTAGTGCAACAACAACAAAAAGTATTTGCTCAGTATGTACTCACTCTGATTTGAACGGTTGCAGTGCTTTCCTGAAAATGCAGACATGATGGCTGCACTTGACTTCTACTTTCAGGTAACATTGCAGTACTCTGTGGAAAACATTTTCTAAGAAAGGTTTGTCAGTTTGAAAATAAGTGTATTTTATATTTTGAGTTAAATAAGAAAATGTATATCACTCTCTGTATGAGAAAAAGTAATAACTAGCATAAAATATAGAAAGTACCGTACTTGAGTAAATGCATTTGGTAACATTCCACCACTGGATAAAAATGTAGTTAATGCTTTTAGAATCGGCCTTTACCCTCAGCAATAAAGTGTATTTCCAAAGTTTTCAAATGATTCCTCTGACTGTTTTTCCAGTTGTGCTCTATTGAGGTGAACTGTGATTCAGGAAGTGTTATGGCGGCCACACTGGCCAACGGGGGTATTTGTCCAATCACAGGCGAGCGTGTGCTGAGCGCTGAAGCCGTTCGCAACACCCTGAGCCTCATGCATTCTTGCGGCATGTACGACTTCTCCGGACAGTTTGCCTTCCATGTGAGTCACCTGGAAAATAAGCATCTGTTTCAAAACATTGCTACTTTTGTTGCTGAAAATGGTAGCACGAGATGTTGAATCCAGGTTGACACTTTTTGTTTTCTTCTCATCTTCAGGTGGGCTTGCCTGCTAAATCTGGCATTTCAGGTGCTGTTCTGCTGGTTGTCCCCAACGTCATGGGTATGATGTGTTGGTCTCCACCTTTGGATCGGCTGGGAAACAGTGTTCGTGGCATTCACTTCTGTCAGGTATGAAGGCATGTCCCCATTTATAGTTTTGTGTTTTTTTCTTTTCTTTTTTCATTTGAAGATATTATATTGTTGCAGGGCATACACAACAACATAAAATACAGTTAAAACTATTATAAAATAAAATAATCAACAAATCAAAATAGCATTAAAAAAGTGATGGAAATCATAGTGTCAATGTATATTTGTATTAATTGATAAAAGGTACATTATGAGTATTTTTACTAATAATGATATGCTCACAGACCCTGTTAAGTCATCCCTTCTCATATTGGTCTGTCAAATATTAATCAACTCTTAATTCACTAGGATCTGTTGTCTCATTTCAACTTCCACAATTACGACAACCTGAGACACTTCACCAAGAAACACGACCCCCGGAGAAGATCAGATGAAGATCCAGTAAGTTCAGGCTAACAAGTGTATCTGCAATTTTCTACGAGGCTAGTGAGAACCATAGATATAGCTTTTTGTGAAATGTTTAAGAAAAAGTCTGTTATCATATAGTAATGTTTCCTTTTGATCCATAAGAACAAGTCGGTGGTAAACCTGATGTTTGCAGCCTACAGTGGAGACCTCACGGCTCTCAGGAGGTAAGTCAAATCAGAAGAATTGCCTTTCAAACTACCCAGTTTCTTACTTATGTATTTGTAGGGTTTTAACTATACTTGGCTTCTGACGTTTTGCCATGCGTGTCATCCTTTCCACATGTGATGGCTCTCCTCTGTTCCTTTGTTATCCCTCCAGGTTTGCCCTTTCAGCTTTGAACATGGAGCAGAGAGACTACGACTCTCGCACAGCGCTCCACGTTGCTGCTGCAGAAGGTGACACTCTATTAGCAAAAGTTCATTATTTAATAATCCCTTTGATATTCAAAAGAGAGTAGATGAAACATGGCGCTGGTCACCTTTGTCTTTCAGGTCATGTGGAAGCAGTTGTCTTCCTAACTGAAGTATGTAAAGTGAATCCTCACATGAAAGACAGGTAGGGGCTTTAATATAGAGTTACTCATCTTCATTGTCAATTAAAAAACATAGTAATAATGTCCTTTTCCATCTCCATCATAACAATTCACCCATCTCCACATTACACTCTGTTATCTATCTATCAGATGGGGGAACACGGCGATAGATGACGCCATGCAGTTTGGCCACGATGTCGTTGTTTCAGTCCTGCAGGAGTACCAGCGTGGGTACACTGACAGCGACGTCGACGCACCCTGTGACACAGAGGAGCAGAAGATCACGCCGGATATTTTGAAGGGCATCGTCTAACCTGGTGGTTTCACATCCAGGGGTCAGGCCTCCTTTTGGGGGCGTCAAAGATCACAGGGGTGGGCCATGTTGTCCGTTCTAAGTCCAACTCTATTTGCACATGTACAATCATAATAACACACTTACTGGATCATTTATATGAAAGTGTGTAATGTATATACAAATAGTTAACGTTTTTGTCCCCTAAAGAATAGTAGGCTTCGTAGTAGGCCGCAACTTTGTGGAGAGCGCTCTAAACCATTTTCATCAGGTGAGCTAGTTAGCAGTTTACCCTTTTTTTTTATGCGATCAGATAATGACTATTTTAGAATTCATCCAACATTTCGGAGAATAAAAGTGCTGATAAATCATTATAGAAAATAAAGAATAAGGCTATATCCCAAGAGTGACCTTATTTTTGCTGGCTGGAATGATCTATAGCGAAAAGCTAGCAAACAGCAGCAACACAATTAAACACAGATCAATAAAACACCAAGAGGCTAGTGATAAAAGGTTTTAAAAAGTGAAACGATAAAGTGAAAAGAAAAGCATTGGCGCTAGAAATAAGAAACACATATGCAAGAGCAGACAGTGATTCACAAAGGGGGATGATGTCATAAAGTCTAAAAATAATAGGGGGGGGGTGTTTGAGAAGGGAAAGGAATCTGATGGTCTAATCTCTAATCCACAAGGGATCATAAGGGTTTAGGTATGGAAATTAATTAATGTTATTATGAGAGGACTGAATCATTGAGACGTGATGAATGAATGAGTATCTTAAACACAGGGACGCGGGAAGGGGGGGTGCCGAGGGGGCTGGCCCCATCTGTTGGCGGAGAGTTGTAACTGCAACGCCAAAAGGTTCACTAAACAAATCAATAAAAAAGTTTTATTTTGAGTTAGCATTTTAGTGTAAGCAGTCTATAAAACATGGTTATTTTTCAAATGGTTGACATATAGAAAATATCATTAATAAGTAGCAGTACTGGTCAATTCAACCTCCTCAACTGTGATTTTTCATGGCCAGCGGTTTTTGTTATGATATTTTCTGTGTACGTACACAAGATGCCTGACCCAGCTGGCAGCCGGGTAAGCAAGACACTGTTCCGATTCCACAGCACAACAGAGGCTGATGTTGTTCTACCAACAAAAGGAGTGGCATCATGGAGAGAGTTTTTCGAGGCTCTTGATCTTGTGCAGAGTGAAATCAAGCGCCGTTTTGACCAGAGTGGCATGGAAACTGCCTCACGCAGGGAGGAAACATTGCTTGCTGCTGCTAAGGGGTCAGTTGGCACAGAGGAAGACCTGAGATCTCTCCAGCTGCCAGGAAACATAGATGTCTCTGGTCTTCACATGCAAACGAGGATGCTGGGAGACCTTACGAAGGATGAGGACTTTTGCACTGTTCACGAACTGGCTGTGTATATGTCCAGCCTGCACATGCAAACAAGAGGACTCATCAAATACGTGGAAAATCTCCTCCAGCTGTGTCTTTCCATGCCCATCTCTGTGGCCTCGTCAGAGAGATCCTTCTCGGCGCTCCGTCGCCTGAAAACCTGGCTGCGTAACAGTTACCCAGAAGAGACTCACTCACCTGGCCTTGCTGCATATACAGCAGGAGATTCTGGACTCACTGGACATTCATGTTCTCATGAGGGAGTTTATTTCCACCACATTCGATGTTCTGTAGTGTGTGTGTGCGCGAAGAGAGAGAGAGAGAGAGAGAGAGAGAGAGAGAGAGAGAGAGAGAGAGAGAGTGTGTGTGTGTGTGTGTGTGTGTGTGTGTGTGTGTGTGATTCCACTGCCGAATTCACAAAAATGTGCAATTGTGTAAAATGTGTTAATAGTCACTGTTAGAAACCTATGATTATTCATGTAGGCCTATTCCGTTTTAATCTGTTTAATCTCTGTTAACTCTGCTTATGTTATTGTTATGCGCTATAAAGTTGTTATTGCTGCGTCTCAATCAACAATTAATCGTCTTCTGATTAGAAAGAAACATGCTGCATTTCGTCTGTGAACTGTCCACATGTTGGTGTTCAAGTTTGCTGTCTGTTGTAGTGTAAATGTGCATTTAATATGATGTTTCAGTGTAAGCGCGCCACAGTTTCGCCACTGCGAGGCTCCACTATCGCGTTACTGTAAATATGCATCATCCTGCTGTAAATAAAAGAAATGTAAAAGCAGTTTCTGTGAAGTTATTTTATTAAACAGTGTACAGTATGAACATGAGACTGAAAAAGGTTTTGTGACAATTTCAGCTTTGTAACTGTGATGGTAATACCAGGGTAAAGAGAACAAAACATTAACAACACACAATTTTCACATCATTTAGTATGCGAGGTAATACATGAGGTACACACAAAAAAGCTTCTGTGATATGATTGCCTGAGGCTGGATGGCATACATAAAGTATGAACCTGCTTTGTAAAGAGTCATTCTAATGATCCAACTTGACCATCACCTGTACTTAAGCGTTAAATGATTTGATGATTTCCTACAGCCATCATAGTTCGTACTGATTCACTTCAGGCCTTCGGGCTCCTCCAGACCAGAGTGTGTGAGCATCTCCCCGTCCCAGAGTCCAAACGCGGGGCAGAGTGGATCTTTGAACTGGGCTTTGATAGTGTGAATGATTGTGGGTTGTATAACGTCTACCAGCCCCAGAACGCCAGCTTCGTAGTCGAGAAGGATGCCAATGCGGTCTGGCTTGCCCACTAGCGTCACAGGAATTATCTTGTTGTTGGTCATAGCAAACCACTTGCGTTGAGCGTAGCCGAAGACCCAGGAGGAGCTGTTCGTTCCCACACAATCCTCTCTGGACATCGCCGCATCGGCAACGCCCACACGAAACTCTTGAGACTTTTTGACCGTCACCTCAAAGTAGTGTCGTCCACTGCTGACCTTCTCATCACCAAACACGACGGACCAGTCTCGGAAACGCTCTGGGTTGTCTGGCAGGCGGCTGGGGTCGAGGCCCAGCATGCGGTAGATGATGCCAGTTTCTTTCTTGAAGAGGTCCAGACTGCTGTGAGCCGTTAGCGCATTCAGCTTGAACTGTAAATCTACAGAAAAAAAAGGAAAACGTTTTTTGTTTGATAGTTGATAATGGAAAAGTAATTGTGGTCTTTATTAGTACTGATTTGTTTAAGATGATGAGGCATGTGCTATACAAATGTCGCTTTTAAGGGCGCTTACATGATTTAAAATGATTTTTCTGATCAGTCCCGTCATAAAATAATGTAAACCAACCTATTTTGGCAAGCTAACTAATAGTGTTAGCATATTAGATACAAGTCTAAAAGAAAACCAAACACTCATCACAAGTGTGTAAAGATATTACTTCGAGGCCAAGTCAGGTAAAGCACCAGCTGCTGGCATTAAAAAGAAGTGTGGTTTTAGTGGTACTAAACTAAACTAGTAATTTGGACATTAATACATTTCTGGATTAATGCACGGCATTTAAAATATCATTGCTTGTTGCTGTTATATTACATTATTATATTATATAACATGGTGTTAGGCTGGGCTTTAGCAATGTCAAGCGCTACGACTGCGAAGACAACAATGCGCATGCGCCAAGGTGATTTACCTGTTGCCCCTCTGTCATTTGATTGGTCATCTTTTGCTCGTAGTTTGTAGAAGTTCGTATCAGTTTAAACAAGTTAAGTAACTGTGGTCACCATGAACAAGTGGATTAAGGTTAACTAATATCTGTCCCTTGGAGAAAAACTTGAGATTGAACACAGCGGCGAGATATATAACCAAAACTTCTGGTAAAAACAATAATATTTTAAAGTAGTTTTCCAAGAACAAAATGACTAACTGTTAGCTTCTCAGGGTGCACGTTGTATTTGTTTACCGTGAAGTTGGTACCTGCCTGTTCAAGAACAGACTTGCATCTTACAGAGAGGATAATTAAACATGAAAGCAGTAGGAAAACACTGTAAAATGTATCAAACACAGCTACACAAGAAGCGGTGCAGATGCTGTATGGAAAGCTACTTGAGAGAACAGGTATACGTGCTCTTTTTGATTGTCACCTTTGTTAAACTGTTGGGGGAATGTGACATAGCACATGTCACATTGTGTACTTTTTCTGGCCAAACATAGTTTTCGTCCAATCATTTCTACGCCATTGTTACTAACTCGTCGTCAAGTTTTAGCGAAGAAACATTTGCACTCAAAACAACAAGCCCACTAAGGGTCGCAGTATAAGTATCTAACTGAAGTAGGTGCATCCTATGAAACTTTCTGAACGTTTTTTCGACTCTTCTCGACTTTTGTTGTATTGTTTGTTATGCCTGGACGATGTGTTAACGTGCACTACGTCCCCATAGATACCGCATATTTAACGAATGTTGGTGTCGTGGCAACAAGAGAAGGTTTTAACCAAACTAGGTCCAGACCAATAACAAACATTTGTCATTAGCTGTCATTAGCAGCACCCGATAGGACATTGACCTCTGAGCTGCATAGGAGAAGCTCTCTTCTTATCTTTTACAAAAATGTCACTCACTATTCCCCGTCGAGGTGGAGATGTAGCATCTCCTCTCTGGCAGGCTGGCAGTTTGTGAGGCTGAGAGAGAGGTGACAGTCCGTCCTGCCAGGCGAGAGAGACGGGCTGCTTTAAGGGGGATCGCCATGTTTTTCGCTGCTGCTCTTAGTACTGTACTGTACTCACATGTTTTGGTTCTTTCTGTTTATCAAAATGTAGCAGCATGGCGCTCTTCCGCCCCCTGCAGGCCTGGAGAGGAACATCCAACCCAGACTAATGAAACACATCAGCACCAAGGACAGTAGACAGCCTGTCAAAACCATGGTCAAAACCTATGGTCAAAACTGAAAAATTGCAACCTTATTTTAGTCTTCTTTTAAATTTAAAAGCTAGACACTGCTCCCATCCATACCACTTTATGCAACATGATTGGGAGTATGTATGTTATATCATAGACCCGGGGTGTGACATTCATAAGGATGTTCAAAATGTGTCTCCTTTTTTAGTAGATTACGACAGGGTTTGAAATTAAGTATGTCACGGAACATTTTTACCAGTCACTTATTTATTTTACTGATATCCAAACCCAGACCAATGAGACACGTCAGCACCAGACAGAAGTTTGCAACCTTATTTAGTCTTCTTCTTAAAGCCCATTGAATCGGGCTAAACTCTGCACATACAACTTTATTTAAAATTCTCGAGGAGATGCCAAATGTAGGACGACATGCAAAACGACCGGGAGTATGTAATGTTCTCTCATAGACTGGGGCTGGATGTGCAAAATATGTCTCCTTTTTTAATAGATTATGACGAGGTTTGAAATTAAATGTATTCCTTATCCTTTCACTGAACATTTCCTCCAGCCACTTATGTATGTGTCTGCCTCTTCTGCAATCTATTTAGATCGTTGTTTTGTCTCTGCAATATTATTACATCAGTCTGTCACTCTACAGCAGTGTAGTGAGACGTTTTCCTAAGAAAGACGGAAAAAAACATAACTTGAGGAAATGATTTAGTTACAGCTATAGGCTAATATGTAGTAACATTATTTATTTCACATGCAGGTAATAAGTTGTATTTCATGCTGATGCATTAAAGATAGGTGATGCATCTTTCATGACATGAAGTCAATATTTTTGTTTTATTAACAAAGCTTGCCTTGTTGCACAGCCAGATCCATTCTTCTCGCCAGTATCCCGCTGGGGACTGAATGTCATTGTTTATTCATGGGACAATCTAAAAGTGGCACATGTTCTTTTTCTTTGCTGTGCCTGATGATGACTTTGTTTTGGAGAGTAGCTCTGTCACACTTCTGCAAGGGTAGGTGACCCTGCCCCTTACTATTTATATGAGTAAAAGAAAAAACAACCAATTAGCTGTACATTGTTCAAACAGAGTCCAAAAATGTCCGCCTCAACTTCTCAAATGTAAATAGTGTCTTGTGTTTTTAATAGTTGACGGGTTATCTTTTAGTTTTTGACTGGTGGTTGCACAAAACCAAAACAACCCGTGCACATGTGTTAACTTTGGCTCTGGGCTCTCCCTCTATTAACTTTGTAGACATTTCATGGACCGGATTTCCTAGGTTTTATTAAGCAATTTTATAGACCAAAAAATTAAACCATGAATCATGCCGGAAGATATTCATATTAGTTGTAATGAAACTTTAAAAGAAGATATATGGTTTAATAATGCAATGCTAATGATAAGAACCATTAAGAAAATGGATAATATGAAATCGAGGAGGCAAACTCTGAAGGCGCTCGGGTTCATTTGTCGTACTCACTCGGGCTTTGACATTCTCTGAAATATTTAAAACGATGGCAATTTTTTCCAAAAATAAATATGTTTTGGTCTGACAGTCTGTTGAATTCTTGGTAGAGTATTATTTTGTCTGCAGGAAGTGCTGCTCTGTCTTATTGTTGGCATATGTTGACACAGTCTGTTTGCTCCGGGTTGCCAGATTTATCTGCAGTCCACCGGTCTCAGCAGTGTGTATTTGGCTAAAGGGATGAATACTCCACTCATTGTTGCACTTGAAGTCAGTTTTACTCGTCGACAGGATAACTACTCAGTCCTTTGAAGCAGCTGTAGAATGTTTTTTTGCAACCAGAAAAAAGAATTCAGGTGCAAGCTTAATTTTCTGAGTAACAAGGGTGAAATAATTGCTAAATGAGAGATTGTGTTGAGTTAAAGACGCTAGTGGAGCAGATGCTTGCCTGGTCGTGACGAAATGCCCATTTGAAAGATGTCATGCTGCATTAGTGACATTTTGGATCCATTGTTTTTGGAGCTTGCCTCATAGGAGGACTCAAATCAGGATATCTTGCCCTCTGCTAATGAGTTTTGACCTTTCATTCTCAAATCCCTCCCTCATGAGACCCCAGCTTTATGGAAGTGCAATTCTAAATTGCAGTTTTACCCCTTTGATGTATTGCTCAATTGTCTTTCTCTTGGTATTGTCTGTTAAGATCCAGATGGTGTTGGAGTTGTTTTTCCCCTAGTGGTGTTTTATTTCCTTCTTCTTGCGGCAATTTCTTTCTTTTATTGGTCAATCCAGTGTTTTCCATTTCACCAAGACATTTTGTATGGTGCTTTCCAATAAATCAAAACGACAGAAATGATAGCACTGTCCACCACATGGCACACACTCTCTGATTCTGTCTCTGTCTTTCTCTCCGTGTTTTCACTCGGGCTGCGGTTTTGTGTAGTGAAGCTGTGAAACTACAGTAAGTCACTCACAGCAGGGCGTCAGTCACCTTCCTCTCCCCTCCCCTCCTCTCCTCTCCTCCTGTCCACTGCCGATGCTGCCAGGCAGAAACAAACGCGAGCAGAGAAAAAGCTCACGACTCCTCTCCACCGACCAGAATAACCAACCGTCTGATCCCACAGACGTTTTCTCATTCATGAGTAGAGAAAATCTCCTGTCTTGACCTGAAAACCTACGGATTAAAAAAGGACTTGCGCAGCTACAGAGGAACTCTTAATAAATGAGCTGAAGTGTCCAAAGGATTTCTTTCTCTTCTCGGTCTCCGGGTTTCTTCTTGTTGGCGTGCAGTGATGTTGCGTGCTTCACTGGACTCGAGCAGCATATTCGCAGGCTGATTAAACACTTTGTCATTCCTTTGTATTTGCTTTACTGCAACCCAGTGAGAAACCTGCAAAACATCAGAGTGTAGTGCATTGGTGATGGACCTTCAACATTTGGGTTATACAAGCTTTTGCATGCCTGCATGCTTCCGTGAATGCATCACTCCTGCTCACAGTTCCTGATCGTCTGACTTTATAAAGAGCGGCGGATGCTCACAATGTTTCCCCATCTGTCTGAATGAGGCATGGCGACCAAACTGCTCCAAGTCCAAGAGTGCGTGTCTACACGTTCACACCTGTTCGGATGGATAATGACAGTTTATGCTACAGGTGAATGAATATCGGCTCTGTTTCTCCTGACAGCGAGTGTGTTGAAGCGGTTTTCTGACCGTTCAGATCGAGCTTGTTGATCAGTGATAATGGATCTCAAAGTAGAAACCGAAGAAATGGACACAAATCAACCTCCACCCATAGAAGTTTTTGCGAACAGCTCGACCCTGCACGGAATCTCTCACATTTTCACATACGAGCGGTTCTGCATCAAACGCTGCCTGTGGGTCGTGTGCTTCTTGGGGTCTCTGACCTTCTTTCTGTTTGTGTGCGTGGACCGGATTCGCTTTTACCTAGAGTACCCGCACGTCACCAAACTGGATGAAATCACGACCCCGATCATGACGTTCCCCGCGGTCACCTTCTGCAACCTGAACGCATTCCGCTTCAGCCGCGTGACGCAAAATGACCTGTACCACGCGGGGGAGCTGTTGGCCCTGCTCAACCAGAGGTAACACACAACTGTTAAAATGTTGCAAAAATGAATACCATAATTGATGTGGAAAGCCTTCTTGAAATGCATTCTCTCGTTATATCAAACATGTCCTTCTAAACTTGCCCCCTTCATAGATGGGCCTACATCAAAAAGTGTAATATTGCCAATATCAGTGGTTTATAAACACATCTAATCAACTGTGCTGTAGTACAAACTTTAGTTACATGTAATGTTGTTTAGTATTTCCATGTTATGCCACTTTATACTTCCAATTAATAATACTTAAGAGGGAAATATGTATACTTTTGTATTGTTTCTTGACAGCTTCTTAGATATTCAGCATATTAAAAGAGTCAACACAAAATCTGTAAATGTGTTGTAAATTATGTTACAGAATCAACTTGACCTAAAATGTAAATGTTAAAATAAGCAACACGTCGACTAGATTAACCAAAAAAGTCTCCTTACACATTACTGCATCAATTGTATGCATTTTGATCATACAGCAACCATACTACATGCTTTTGAGTATCTTCAATACAGGGCATTTACTTTAATGTTGTAGTTTTACTTTTATCTCTGATCTGAATACTTCATCCACTGACAGCTGTGTCTCACTTATTCAACAAGCTCCAATAGGTTCTACCTTGTTGAGTCATTCAGGGCTTGGGGAGCAGGCTTGTCATGAACTAACTGAGGCACTATAATCGGAGAATGGCAGCCGTCGCGGGTGCAGCTGAGGGCTCTGGATGCCAGAGCTGCATGTTCTGTATGCTCAGGAGGAAAAAGATGCTTCCTTTGATCTTAACTGAAATGGCAGGTGCTCTGCGTATCTTTGTCAGTTGGGCTTTTGTTTGTTTTCTGTAACTTTAACAGAGCTGCAGGAAACTCCCCTAATGCATGTTGAATCCACTGAGCTGTCAAATAGTTGACCTCCCTGGTTAAAGTTGATTTACATCATGCAGATGGCTGTCCTATAGGGGCAGAGGAGACAGGGGAAAGAACTGACGGATAGAGAAAGAGGCTATTACTAAACATGACTTAAAAGCTGCTTGATTAACCTGTTGCTCTCCTTGTGTTGTTATAATACATGTCTTAGTGTCAACAGAGGCTCTTACAATGAAACCAATCATCAATCTGGTGTTCTTTGTTGCATTTAGACCAGTGCCTGTCATCTGAGAGCTCAAAAACTCTTCTCAAATGATGTGAACCTCTGGCAGGCTGTCAGTTAAAGAGATGAAGGACAGCGCAGTGACGAAGGCCTCTGATGGCACTTTTATGAGCCAACTTCTATCCTAAATCTTTAATGAAGATCCCAGACTGAACACTAAAATTAGATTGTTTACTGTGGTGCTGGTGTGATTGATAATCAACACTTGCCATCTGGATGGGTTTTTTAATGAATACATCTCCTAAACTCACATTTCCAGGCAGCGGTTGGCAAGGAAGAATTTTCAAAGTTGGAGACCAAAGAGATAGGATATAGAAAGATAGGGCTGAGTTTCCTTCTCCGTGTACTCATCTCAACTCTCACACGCTGAAATAGGTTTAGTGCTCATTATCCTGCCTCCCTTGGCAAGGTAGGCAATGCAACGGCACACTTAGCTGTTATACCCACGGCCGGAAATGAAAGTGCTTGTGGCATGAAATCCATTTAAGACTATTCCCCACCCACTCCCCATGTTTAAAGTCAGTGGTCTGGGAAATGTCTTGTGGCATGATATTTAAGCTGCACACATCCCGAAGTGTCAGCCTTTGCCGATCCCGTCGGCTCGTTCTTATGGGATTGTATCTCATAAGTGCCTTCTTGGCAGGTTTGTCCATTACACAAACAAAGGGGAGCAAGTCCCTCTCCTCAATTAAGTTCTCTTTCAATCAAACAAAAATCTTCTCTGCCTCTGCACGAGGGCAACACACTCTCACTCCCTAAGCGTCCAATAACGACGTTTGGTCAGTGTCCGTGGCGTCCAGTTGTGACGCTCCTAGGCTCCTTCAGCGTCATAAAGGGACGCAAATAGCGTTCAACTGATTGCAATGTATTCCCATCTGCTTCGGTATTTGACGCTCAGGGAAGCACGGCATTCGTTTGTGTCGGCTGCCCTTAAAGGCAATGTGAGCGTCCATTCCCATTGGATAACGGAGAATTGTACACCCGGAAGTAAGTATTCCTCTTACTGTCGATTGATTTTACAGTGATATCTGCACTACTCATCGACTAAAAAACACCAGATTATCCTTGTTAATTACACAACATTGATTGGTTTAAATTGTGTGCAATGCTTTTGTATTTTTCCCCTTCGATTCGGAGAAACAAATATTTTTTCTGAGTAAAGGATGGCAGAAAACACTACACTACCCAGAATCCCCAGCTATCGTTTGGACTACACCATGTGCTCTGTTTGACAAACCCCGTGATAGTCCTCAAGCTCTGTGATTGGTGAGTGTGCTCCGAGGGTTACGCCGATTCTCGAACAGCACTTGAAATGGGATGGAACCACGTCAGACTGTCCAAAACTGGATTTGAACAGGTCCACCGCGTCCCCCCTCCCCCACCCCGTCCCCAGAACTACACATGCTGGCTATTCTGTTTCGCAACATGCTCTCTATCTATGGCACGTCTCTACTGGGAGTTGTAGTTTTAAAAGACGTTTTCGTATTTCCCATAATAAGAAGTTGCCAGTATTAAACTGTGTACATCCCTGGAGGTTTAGGGGATAGGAAACACTCAAATGTAAAACATATAATTAATAAATGGGTGAAAATTGCTTGTGCCCATAATGGGCAGCATTAATATATATATACACACATGCCAGCTAAGGTCAGAAGAGCTTTATTTAACAGCTGGTCTTATGTTTTTGACCCCTCCTGTTGTTAATAGATAACATTACATTACATTACATTAATTGATAAGCCTGAAACATGCACTTGTCAAGGTTCAGAGGCAAATTTTGCAAATATGGCAGTAGCCATCGATCATTATTTGTAAATCATTTAGTATAATCACACAAATTCTGTGTTTTATATTGAACAATTCTGTGTTCTTTATGTATTGATTGTTCAATACCTGACAAGGCCGGAGATGAAATATCTACATACATCTTATAAGAGTATAATACATGATGTATAATATCAGTTAAAATAAGTGCTTCAACATAGTTAACATTGCTGGAGGTATGCACAAATATTGATAGATGTCTTGAGGAACCTGCGACCCAAGTTTTTCATTCAATGCAGAACTACACCATAGTTGTGTAGGCCTATATGATATGTCAATAAACCTTAGAAAATCTTGAAATCTTGAAAGGGATGTGCAAAATAATAATTATATACAGTCTTTAGTGAACTATTAGTAGAGAATAACGAGTAATGAATATACTTTATAGGGATCCTATTAATATCTAATAATAAAAATAATGAAATTCAATAACATGCTTTAACCACTAGGTGTCCCTTTATATCAGCTGTGCAACTTTATGGTGTAAATACAGCCTATCTACCAATTGGATCAAATATAAAAGTCAGCCGAATTAGTGTTGATACTGCAAGGAGACGTATTGTGTTAAAAGAAATGTAAGATGTTGTTTAATTGCTGATATATTTATGACCCACGTCACGTTTTCAGTTCCTCATGTTTGTCTAGAAGTCTTCTCATCAGGGCTCTATAAATACAGAACTACGGCAGATATGTAATATTTAATGCAGCCGAACCGTGTATTACAATGCCGTTATGTGATGACTTTCAAAGAGAAAATCAAGCACACTCGGAATAAAGTATTATTTTATTTTTTTTAAATGTTTTCGGTCTGTTTCCGGTATTTGTTAATGACGATGTGCTGTGAGATGTGAGACTGAAATTGCACAGGGGAAAATAACGTATCTTTAGATGCGGATTTTGTTAAACTAATATGTTTGCGCTGTGGATCAACACTATACATTGACGGGGAAGGGGGTAGCAATACAGATAACACCATTAAACAGTTACACAACATAACAGAAATCATATCGATAACAGCGTCCCTAGCAACCACCTTGGTAACAATGAAAACGTCGCGATTTCCTGAAGTAATCTTCGTAATAACTAGCAAACTAAAGATCATGTACATCCACTGCACACATAATCTGAAATAACAACTCATATTTCTCGCATCAAATGACATCAAAACGTATTTTAATGGCCAAACTAACTTTAAAATAGGCATTTTCCACTGAGAATAAAACGAAGTTCGGCCATGTTTTCTTTTTCTGCAGGGAGAAATTTGAAGATCACGTGACATAGACGCCAGCCATTGGAATGAATGGTGAAAAAAAAACGGGTTTGTCAAACAGAGCACATGGTGTAGTCCAAACGATAGCTGGGGATTCTGGGTAGTGTAGTGTCTTCTGCCATCCTTTACTCCGAAAAAATATTTGTTTCTCCGAATCGAAGGGGAAAAATACAAAAGCATTGCACACAATTTAAACCAATCAATGTTGTGTAATTAACAAGGATAATCTGGTGTTTTTTAGTCGATGAGTAGTGCAGATATCACTGTAAAATCAATCGACAGTAAGGGGAATACTTATTTCCGGGTGTACAATTCTCCGTTATCCAATGGGAATGGACGCTCACATTGCCTTTAAGGGCAGCCGACACAAACGAATGCCGTGCTTCCATGAGCGTCAAATCCCTCCGCAGATGGGAATACATTGCAATCAGTTGAAAGCTATTTGCGTCACTTTATGACGCTGAAGGAGCCTAGGAACTGGACGCCACGGACACTGACCAAACGTCGTTATTGGACACTTAGGGAGTGAGAGTGTGTTGACGAGGGAGGTTTAGCTTCATCTTAATGTCACAAAAATAATCTATGGACTAATTTCCAAACTTTAATGAGACTAGCAGCGTTTATGTAATGCTTACAATATTTCATTTGGTGTTAAATGTTCCTTTGCCCTTGTGAAAATGAAAAGGGTTACTTATATGTTTTGCAACAGATGTAATAGTATAATTTCATATTTTACATACAAGTTCATCTCATTCTTATTACTGTATTGCACACAAACACACAGGTTGCAGTAATAGTGTTTTTCACAACATCAATAAAAGACTATTTTCCTACAAGAGTGGCCTCATTCACATGAGACATTTTCATTCGAGGCAGTGCTCTGAAAAAAAACCTCCCCCAATTTGATCTTTGGTTAGTCCATTAAAATGGTGACATTTTTAATAATAGCACAGAGGGAGATCGCAGCGAGGGTGGAGGCTGGGCACATGTATGGCTATTCTGCTCTCTTACGAGGCAGCGTGGTCAGATTCTTGCGAGCTCCATTAAATGAAAAGAAAATGTCCACTGATAATGCTGGGTGTTATGTGGGTTGCCTGGCTCCCCGCTCACATGCTCACAGGGCTTTTATCCTTAATGTAGTGAAAAGAAAAGGCTACGTCTGGACATAATGAAATATCACAGCAGTGGAACTGAATACCATGCTATCAATAATGTAATGATATTTGAGGCTTAGCTGTTACAGAAAACCATTCGGAGTGTATTATTAGGGATGAATATATGATGAAGCGAGGAGACAGTCCATTTTCATTTATTTAATAATCAAATACATTCAAAACAATCACTTCACTGTAATACAGAATTAACTAACCAGGAGAAAGCATTTTTAGTATTACAATCGATATATGCATATTCATTAAAAGTATATTTTATATAAAAAACAAACCTTCTGGCATTGCTTCACTGGACACTACAGTACCTGTTCTTCACCAAACCACGGATGCATTAGAGATTAGATGGTAAACATACTGGATCATTTAGCAGCTGAAGAGTTATATGTTTTTCTCAGGTGTTGGTAGGATTGAAAATCCCCAAAAAATCAGAGCTCGAAGAAAGTGCATAAACTTTATTTACCAGGCGATCAGAAACATGATGAATGACATGTTGCTCTTAAACTGCTACAGTAGTCAAAAGGCACCTGGTTGCTAACAAATCTACCTTATTGACCTAAATAAGTGAGGATTTCTTCAAAGTTGAGCGTGAAAGAAAGTAGTGGGTTTATTGCAGGTCTGAAAACAAAATACAGCAGAGGCTGAACCAAAGTATTGGACAATAATGCACTAGAGGAAAACATTCTGGGATCACCAAAGTGATTACAACTTCCTGAGGGGGACACAAGTGTCTGAACCAAAGTTCAAGACAAACGATCCAATAATGGCGGCACTGGAGGTAAAGTCAAAGCATTACAAAACTAATTAGAAAACATTGTCTGGGAAACATTAAAGTGTGTGGGAATCCATTATTGGTTTTCCACTGGATAAGTTAAAAAGACTGCTAGTGGCGGTAGAATAAAAGCAGAGAGATTTCCAAAGTCTCTAGGGTTCATCATCATTGTCTAACCATCAGGTAGTTGCCTATTTGTCTGCCCTCTTTGGACCAATGCACATTATCTCTAACAGATCTCGACAGTGAATGGATGACTAGCTTTATGGGCCCTTACAGCTCTTGTCTTAACATTTGTATGTACTGTACAATAAAGTGTTACACTCTGGTAGTGCCATCAGTTCAGAGCCAGAAAAGGCCAGAGAAAACCCACTTATAGAATTGAACTGTCTGTTTTCTGTCTCCTGTGATTCATTCTGGATTCTATTATGTTTAGCTTTGGTTGAGAGGAACACAAGTTCACAGATAAAGACTCATAAACCTTCTGGAAGTGTGCAGAAATGAAATTCAAGGCTGAAATGGACTTTATATTAAGTCTACTTTATCACCGGGTCGTGATTATTCATAGTCAAGACGTCCCAGTCAAGGAAATTCCTCCTTCCATACCAACCTACGGGGCATAAAATGTGCACTTGAAATGTGTGAAATACTTCTTTGACCTCTCTCTCTGTCTATCTATTTTTCCAGGTATGAGATCAGGGACATACATCTCGTGGAGGAGAGTGTCCTGGAGAGCCTGAAGGCAAAAGCCGATTTCCTTCATTTTAAGCCGCGACCCTTCAACATGCGTGAATTCTACGACCGCACCGGCCACGATATCAACGACATGATGCTCGCCTGCCGCTTTCATGGCACCGAGTGCAGGGCGGAAGACTTCAAAGTGGTGAGTTTTATCCCGAAAGGATTTTTATCCAATCATAATTAAAAGGGATAAGTCTGGTGGTTGTCTACAAATACTGTTAAAAGCCAAAACCCCAAATGAGTTCATAATGCTAACAATTATTGACTGTGTAGCCAAAGCCTGATAAAGCTTGTTAAAGTCAAATTAAAATGTTAATACTGCAGACTTTGGTGAAAGAAATACAAACTTTAATGATAGTGGAGCAATTGTGCACATTTTTCAGAAAGGAAAAATCTTCTTTTTACTATTTTAGGGCAGCGCTCAAAATTCACATAGCAGTTTAACATCAAAATCCTTTGTATAAAAGTGTTGGAAATTAAAATGCTATTAGAAATATTGCACTTTTGCAGTTAATTTTGTTGGAGATAGTAGTCCCCAACAAATACACAATTTAAATCCTATTTCACTTACGAAAATGTTGTGAACTGATTTTAAATATGTATGTCCTCAGTAGGAACAAATAAGCTTGGAGTTGAGCACTACAGACCGGTATGTGCAAAAGTATCGTGAGCTGGACTAACACATCGTTAGTCTTTTCATGGGAAAGAAAGATATGAATGATCGCAGCCTTGTTCGAATATTCTTTTAGTTTAGTTTGGATAGTAGAGTGCAGCAACACACACAATGTATAACATATAGGATTATCTATTTATAGAGGGTTAAAGAACGATAAACCCCCCACGGCTAAATAAATAGCAAACCTGACATGTTGTTTTTCGACCTCGGAGTCCTGCGGTGTGTTTATGTCCGGATGCTGCTGGGTTGAATCGAAGCCCTCTCTGTTGTTAATCTGTCACTGTACATGTTGTCTTTGTGAACATGTATGTCTCTTATTCCCAGACCATTTATAATACAAAAGCAGACATGCACTTTTAGGATTTAGTCTTCCTTTCTCTTGTTTTTCATGATAACGTTGGTGTGTGTTCATATCAGTATGCGTACCAAAATATGTTTTGAATCTGTGCCGACAAGTCCTTGTTAAAATGTATGATGAAACAATTTTTTGAGCTTTTTCATTACGTATTTAAATCCCCACTGCTCTGAGTCAAGGTTTAAATCTACCTTTTCGTCTTTTACTTATCATTTTCTTTTTGCAAAACAAGGTAAGGGTTAGCACCGCACAGCCCTTGAGATTAAACACATGAGGAGAAGAGATGTGGATTCATGCAGTGGAGCTGATCAAAGAAACACTGACATTGTGTGTGAGTGACTGATGCTCATAAGTTTTCCCTGCGGCAGAAAGTAGAGCCTGTAAAGTCTGGCCATTAAAGCCTGCAGCTGCCGGCGCACCCCGACTCTGTGGCCAACGGACACTGGCATCAGACGTGGTTTTTCATTTGGAGCTGTTCATCGATCATTCCTCACAGCAGGCTCACTGAATATTGAGATTGGATTACGTTAAATGCTAGTTTATCTTTCCCCCAAGAAGATTCACCTTTATCGACGGTAGACTTATTTGGTTTTTGATCCTCCCATATATTATAGCACCAAATGGTTGTTACCTTCATTCAACCAGCAGAGTAGACTTGAAGGCTGGCCTTAGAGATTTATTTGTGTCTGGCAAACATTCATTCATACACAATGACACCGAAGAGGAGCTCTACCCGCTGCCACTTAATACCTCATTCACACCAACGGTGTTTCACGGTCGGTTCGGAGCTTGAAAAACACCGGGTTTTCCTGTTCACACCGCAGCGCAGCAGCCTCTCATACCTCATTCACACCAACGCAACTCCGGTTCATGCTCCGTGCTAGAGCTTTTCAGGTTCAGAACCAGTTCTTCGGTTTAGCTCTGGCTCTTTGCACACCGCCCAGAGTCCGACTGGTAATGCGTCGTTGCGTCATCGTTTGCGTCATGACGTAACCATTTGCGTGCCTGCTTCATAAAGCCAAACCGCGCGGATGAAATCAGTTGCATTCATTTCTTATGGCTCTATCTGCAGCTTTTCCGGAGTCATTTCTGTGGTTTAGTTATATTCTTATAAAAAAGTGTACTCGTGTCAATAAAGGTTTTTTAAAAACACAACTGCTTCCGAGGTCGGTCTTATTTCTTAAGGTGGACTGAACCATGAGTGTGGAGTAACGTTGTATCTTTCATTTAAATGAACTGTAACCTTCACCCAGGTTTGTAACAGCTGTTCTCAAATGAACACGTGAAGTAAAGTTGAATATTTATAGTTTTATAGATTTATAATGAGTTATAATGAGGTGATCAACGTGAATGCTCAGGTTCCACCTTAACACGCAGACACGTTGCTTCACCATGAGCAGAAACCTTTATATCTACAGTCTATGGCAGAAACACTGAAACTCTTGTTAAGTTTCTCCATCGTTGTGTACAAACTGGATACAACGCAGGCTTTTTGTTGTTGTTCAGGAGTTGATCTGTCTCTGCCATGGATGTGTCTCTGCCCCTGCCCCCGCCTCGATGTAAGCGTGACGTATGCGGTGCTTTTGTTCTGGCCGGACAATTTTTTGGTGCTTGAAACGAACCGGATTCCGGAGCTAAGAGGCTGCTCCGCTGCGGTGTGAAGAGGAAAACCCGGTGCTTTTCAAGCTCCAGCTCCGAACCGGCCCTGAAACACCGTTGGTGTGAATGAGGTATTAGCTCCGGAATCCGGTTCGTTTCAAGCACCAAAAAATTGTCCGGCTGGAGCAAACGCACCACATACGTCACGCTTACGTCGAGGCGGGGGCAGGGGCGGGATCAACTCCTGAACAACAACAAAAAGCCCGCGTTTTATCCAGTTTGTACACAACGATGGAGAAACTTAACAAGCAGCAGTGGTCCATTGAAGAGACCAGCTACCTACTGGGAATCTGGTCTGAAGAGGTACAGAGGAAGCTGGAGCACAATCGGCCATTGTTGTTGTTGTCGGTGTCAACTGTGAGGGGTTTCCGCGCAGTTTGGCTTTATGAAGCAGGCAAGCAAACGGTTACGTCATGACGCAAACGATGACGCAATGGCGCAGCATCAGTCGGACTCTGGGCGATGTGAAAAGAGCCGGAGCTAAACCGAAGAACCGGTTCTGAACCTGAAAAGCACGGAGCTTGAACCGGAGTTGCGTTGGTGTGAATGAGGTGAAGCAGCTGCAGTGAAGTAGCTTTGAAGTGATATTTTCTGCTTATGGGCAATTTTACTATTTTTCTCACTAGCACAGTGAAGGAAACATACTGGAAGCCTTATTTATGTCTCTGGATGCAGTTTGAAGTAGTTTTGTTTGTCTGGATACACTTAATTAAAGGCGAACTGATGCCTTTTGATTTATTTTCAACACCTCTTCTCTAAAATGTATTGAATTAAGGACTTTCTTAATGATCCGATTGCAGGTTTAACACAGGCACAGTTTAAAACTGTTATCTTATAAGTCCAACTTCAGTTTGGCTCTTAATGAGTCACAGTTCTGCCTCAAAAAGCCCTGCAAAGTTGAGCTGCAGTGAGGTGTAGCCTACAGTATGAACCTCGAAGTGAGATTACTACACTGAATCATTGTTGTCACTGAAGAATCAGCAGCGTTTAGCAGTTCTCAGCTCAGCTATGATTCACAGTGGACTACTCATTTAAAGTGTGTTGAAAGACTAGGAAAGTTAGTTATGAAGATGATGCAACATTTTTTGCAAAATCCCAAAAATGCATGCTACTTGTTAACCTGCCCACTCTTCCTCTCCATTATCTTATAGTAGACAAAGTGAAAGGGCAGAAAGGTTGTTTTGGTTGTGCTTGTTAGAATCAATGACCCCAAACATGGCTCTGAAATATTATTAGCTACATGTTCTGAAGCAGACGGATTTGTATTTATGTATTGTTCCTTTAGGGCCCGTCCTGCTATTAGTTTTGTACATCACATTACATTCCATGTTATTTAGCTGTTGCTTATATCCAAAAAAACGAACGTACTGGGGTGCAATTATTTAATTTGAATTTTAAGATGTTTTGGGCAGTGCCTTTTATTGAAGTGAGAGTGTTTCAAGGGGGAAACAGAAAAGACGACATGCATCAATGGTTCTAGGCCAGTTTGAAACCGTCCTCCATTTGGGGACTAAGCCACAGTACATGGGCTTGTTGCCCATTAACTGAGCCCAGGAGTTAACCCCCTGAGCCATGTTCGTCTTGAAGGTTGGGGGTGTTCGGGAATAAGAGAAAATAGAAGCAAAATATCTGTTCTACCCCTTCCCTCTCTTTTCAAAATGATCAAAAAGGCTAATGGTGACATGTATCACATTGTGGTTATTCCAGTTATTTGCCTGAAGTCTCGGTTTAGTACTGAACTGAACACTTACAATTACAGAGGCATCCTCAAGAGCATCTTCACAAACAGCCTGTGCTGAAACGTCTCAGCCACAGGTCCCTGCAGAGAATTGTAAAACCTGCAAAAGGGATCAAAGGTGACTCTCTTCCTGAAATAGCTGACATGTGCAAGCCGGTTGTGCCCTGAAGGCTTCCAACACAACAGCTGAGTCCTTCAACTATGTATTTTACTACTGACATCTGGTAGGAGCATCCTATATGCAACAAAACAAACCTCTCACTGTATTGGTTTGGATCTTACTGTTTGGACATAATCCCCAAAAATTGATATTTGAATAGTAATATGTTTATTTAAAAAGGATTTATCAAACACCATTTTGGTACATTTTGACAGATTTAGAGTCTGACTCCCCACTGACTATGGATATGTACCTCCTACAACCCCACTTTAAAAAATCTGAACTGTCCCTTTAATGATGCAGTAGCTGTTGGTCGTGGTCTTCTCCTAAGCCCAAACATTACATCATGACTTTTCCCTGATAGGATTGGAACGGCCTTCTGGTTCTGAGCACATGCTCCCCAACATCCGGTTAGTGCTGCCTCAATAATTCATTTCAGCAGTGGAGTATGAAATGCACACATATTAAGCATGTAAATAGTTGTGTATGTGTGTGTGTGTGTGTGTGTGTGTGTGTGTGTGTGTGTGTGTGTGTGTGTGTGTGTGTGTGTGTGT